TTAGGTAAATGGGCTCACCAAGACACCTCAGTTCGTCTATGATGGAGGTAAGCCTTATATGCATCTCATAGATGGTTTCACCTTCCTTCATGCTAAAATTCTCATATTATGTCGTCAACATGTCTACCTTGGACTCTTTGACCTGAGTTGTTCCTTCATGGGCTGTTTTGAGGCAGTCCCAGATTTCTTTTGCAGTCTCACAAGCTGAGATCATGTTGTATTCATCTGGACCAATACCACAAACTAGTAGTTTCTTGGCTTTGTAGTTCTTTTCGATTTTCTTCCTGTAAGTTTCATCGTATTCCCTTTTGGTTTTGGGAATCACTTTAGTCAGCTCTCCTTCATTCACGTCCTTGGTGGAAACTTATAGTCCGTCAAGTACACGTTCCATAACTCAGCATCTTCCGCATTGATATAATCATGCATCCATGTCTTCCACCATCCATAGAATTGCCCATTGAATCGAGGTGGACGAGTGGTGGACTGACCTTCTTCCAGGCTCGGTGGAGCAACCATTCCTTCATGATCGTTCTTCTCTTGGTGTCAACCAGATATAGAAGTCTTGCTCTGATACTTATTGATGGAATGTATGCGTCCACTAATGATCACAAGACCAGGTCCTCAAATAGTTTTAAGTGCTGAAAGTAAATGCTGGAAGTAAGTAAGAACACACTATTTTACGTGGAAACCTCCTTGCTCAAGAGAGTAAAATCACGACCTGTCACACAGGATTTACAAACTGTTTTCACTAATCTTCTCAAGCAAAAGTGAAACACAGATTACAACCACGATATTAACCTCCTAATCTCACACTAAGTAATATCCCTAATACTTAAACAAGCCAAAGTAATGCTCTCATTGCCCACTTTATTAACTATTTCTAATCAATATAGACTTTCAATCGTAAGACACAAAGTTACACCTAACTATGCTCTTACACGACTCAAACAAGGTTTTGAAACGTTTCTAACAAGATTGAAACAAATCCTACAAGATAAGCACAAATACAAGCAAACAAAACATCAACAGGTTCAGAAAGCAATTCTTTATGAATCGATCATGTCCCTTGTTGTTTTGTATGAAGCTTGATTTTTCTCTCTTTGAATGAATGATCTTGATTGTTGTTTGTCATGTTGACTATGTCAACCAAAAAGAACTATTGATCATTGGACAAACAACCTCGTCAATTTTGATTGGTTCAGTACGTTGACGACTTCACCAATCACTGACAAGATAACTTTCTAGTTGTACAACACATTGACTTGGACGAGACCACTCTGCAGAGGATCGACTCCCTGCACTTGTGAGGATCATCAAAACATCTAAAATCTTATCAATGGGACTAAAAAATTAAGGCCCGCACCTTCTCCAATATCTGGGTCAAAAGTTCTAAATCAAGTTAAAGGCATAAAGTTCACCCTTGGTCAGTTAAGTAAAAAGGCAAGCGGGGTGATGAAAAACACATGGAAAAAGATGAGTATTTTTTTCAACCTTCTTTACTAGGAGTATAATTTGGTTCGTCATAACCTTGATGTGATGCATATAGAAAAGAACATGTGTGATAACTTGATTTATACATTATTGGGTCTTGGTAAAAAATCAAAAGACCATGTAGTAGCTCGATTGGACCTAAAGGAGATGAATATAAGACCAACCTTATGGCCTCAACAACGAGCTAGCGGGAGGACATATCTTCCTCCTACTTATTTTACAACTAGTTTCTGGACACGTGCAACGCACGTGTGTCTCATGCAATATGTTATAAATTCATTAGGACGATTTAAATTCAATGAAAATATGTGTGTAATGAGTACTACAATGCAACAATCTCAAATAATGTTATGATAATAATTTATAGAAAATTAAATTAAAGAAGACTAATAGAGAAATATAAAAAAAAATAAACATAGAAGAAAAAAATAACATATGCATCCTTCCTAAGACTTTAATCATAACATTATATAAATGAAAAAAGAAAAACAAAATCGGTACATAATTTTCCAAGTTTTTGTCGACATCTTCTCTCATATCCAATCAAAAATCAAAAGTCTTCTCCATCGAGTCAAACTAAAACATGAATCAAATAGAAAAAATCACTTTATTTTCGTAAAGTGATATACAATCAGACTAAGGTAGATATATCATATACTTTAGATGCTAATGGCTACACTACTTTAACTATAAAATGAAAAAGGATAATTTTGGATGTGAGTTTCATGAAACAAAAAAGATGAATTTATATAGATAAAAATAGAGGAATACCAAAAGACATCTTAAAGTTTTAAATTAAATACTATTTGAAGGTTTCAAAGGGCCAAAATAGATAAAAGAGAATAATTTTAAGAATATTAAATATATGCAATGAACCTCCATTAAAATCTGGAAGAGTAAACAATCCTCCTTTGAACACATGAACTCTCCATTTACTCAATGTAATAATTGATTATCACTAATATTTAAACATGTAATTAACTAAATTATAATATTTTAATCCAGTGTAGGGGCAAAATGGTATTTCAACTTTCAACTTTTTTTGTTCCCACTTTTAGTAATATATAAAATACATATATGATGTCGCCAAAAGAAAAAAAGGTTATTCTAAGAAGTATTAGAAAATGTTAAGTTTCCACATGGCTATTCATCTAATATCTCGTGTTGCATTCGCAAACGAAACAATTAAAGATTTAGACCCTCCCAAAAAAGTAACAAATAACAAATTTTTCTTTTCTTATTTTACGTATTATTTTATTTTAATTTAAATTTTTTAAAACTCTAGAGTATTATAACAAAAAAAAAAAGAAGGATAATAGCTAAGATTGAATCCAAAAAATAGGTAAAAATATAACAAAAAAAAAATTCTCTTTTCAATATTTTTCAACAATATTTATCTATTTATAATATTGATTGAAAATTTTAATAAGTAAATTTTAATTAATTAAATTAAAAATGTAATTAATGTTTCTGTATTAGATGTTTAAAATCATTACTCTCTATAAAATAATCTTAATATTAAAAGCACATTGATACTTGCTTTTTTTTCGTAATTGACTCTAAAAGCACATTTTTATAAAAAGTTAGCCAAACACAAATTGCTTATCAAAAGCACTTTTCTACTGAATTTGCCAAACACAAATTGGTTTTTTTTTTTTTGAAAAATACTTTTCTAAAGAGCTATTTTTAAAAAAAACGCTTCTAAAAATAAGCAATTTTTAGCAGCTATTCCAAAAAGACTCTTAATCTCCTCCGTGTGTTACAAAACTTGAGGTACCATGTACTAAAGTTGATTCACATGTGAACAAATTATACACTTCACATTTTCAAATTCAAATAGAACTATTCGAACTTAAATTACACACTTTTATATTGTCAAATTGAAATTGAACTATTCAAACTTGAATTAATTGTAGCCACAATTTATTACATCACCTAACAACGTGGGAACCCTTCATCATATGAGACATCAAATAAACGATGTATAATTTTAAATGAACATTCTTCACTATTTATTAGATACATCCTAGATCATAAAATTAATTAATTTATAAGTCTTTTTCGACACTGTGGCTGGACTATTGCGTCCACACACTGGGTTTGACTGGTATTTTTTATTTTTATTTTAAATAAAATGTTCGATTTATATAAACTAATAATTTAAAAAAAAGAAAAAGAAATTGACATTTCATTTATAATGAATTAACATATAAGTTTTCATAGCAAAAAAAAAAAGGATGGATTACACATAAAATAGGGTAATTGGCACGTTACATCAATTAAAACTATATTCTAATGTTGTTGGCATGAGTCACTTTTTTTTCTTGCTAATTGAACTGAATTTGATAAATCTATTGGGCTTGAAATCTCTGTTTACAATGATACCCATTGCCTCTGCGCGCAACAGGTGTCTCCCCTTGTAAGAATAAAATGGTGGATTTGTGGGGAATTGATTTGAGAGTGAGAAAATCAAAGGCTAAGAATGATGTGTGTGTTGACAAGCGGTAGAGCATCCATTTTAATGGAGTGTTTCTACTCAGTAAATTTTGACTCTTCAAGGGAAAAGGAAGAGGAAAAGTTAGAGTTAGAGTTAAAGGTGTAAATATTGTATATAAAGGTAATAGTGTTTAGGTGTCGGTTGGAATGAGTTATTGATCAAAATAAAAACCAAATCAACTTAATCCGATTTTAAATTATTAAAATCAAATAAAATTCTATTTATCAATTTTGATTCAGTTATTAATTATACACGAAAATAAAATAAACTATCCACTTAAGGGGGGGGGGGGGGGGGCAACTTATCGCATCTAAAACAATGTTACATGTTCAGAAGTCCAAATTTTAGAAGAAATTGTGGATACCAAACAGTGTTGATGATTAAGTGAAGATGATACAATACCTTTGGAAACAGTTACACATAAGGAAACACTTATCATATCTAGAATTCTTCACAATTTTACTGTGCACTTCGAAAAGACAACATCGAAACTTTGGTTGGAATAAGAAAAGTTCGAAAAGTAGGATTTATATTATAGATGTTCTTAGAACTTTTATTAATTATTAAGTCAGGATTTTTTAAGAATTATTATTCCACCTACGGAATATCTTATCCCTTTATCCATCACATATTTAAAGCTTGCTTTTCCTTTTCAAGTTATGTTGGAATCAGTAAAACAAACAAAAATGAAATGATGCTGACTCAACTAGCTAGCTAGTTTCATTTCCACCATCTATTTTACTGGGTAGATATTATGTGGTCGGAGATTTTATTTTAGTCTTTTACAAATAAACTAGGATTTGAAATTATGAATTTTACATTTTAGAAAATATGATAAATAATATATTCAAATTAATTAAATTTTTAAAAGTATGAAAATAGAGTCTAAAGTTAAAATTATTGAGTTATATTGAATTCGTAAGAAAAAGCTATAATTCTGCACCTGTATAGTTCCTATATAAACATTCGATTAGGTAGCTAACAAATTAAATTGTCAGAAAATAAAGTAGATATGGGGAACAATAAGTTTTTGTTGTTGGTGTTTTTTCAAATGGTAATTGTGGCGAATGGTTGTTGGGAGGAAGAGAGAAGTTCTCTCTTGGATCTGCAAGCAAACATAATGAGTTCTAATGGCGAATTGTTGGTTGATTGGGCTGGTTATAATGCCAATGGTTTTACAGATTGTTGTTTCTGGAAAAGGGTAAAATGCAGCTTAGAAACAGGTCGAGTGATCAAACTCGATCTCGGAACAGGTTTTGATACAGGGGATGGTTGGAGATTTAATGCCTCTATCTTTCTTCCATTCAAGTCACTACAACTTCTTTCATTATCTTCCAGAAATATTATAGGGTGGACAAAAAATGAAGGTATGAAGTATATATATGACTTGTGACAGATGAAACTATATATATTACTAACATGTGTTTTTTGGTCTAATTTTGTCATCCAGGTTTCAGTAAACTAAGGCAGCTTCCCAACCTGAAAGTAGTCGATTTGCAATTTACTCCGATCCATCCTGAAGTTTTACTATCATCTTTATGTTGGATTTCATCTCTTGAGGTTCTAAAACTTGGTGCAAATGTTTATACCTATTTCAACGTACCAACATATAATAACAGTATATTCCATATCCTCCTACATATGAAACTATTTGGACAATATATATATATATATATATACTTAATATAATTGTAATTTTTGGATGAAGGGATGAATAAGAAATGTGGAGGGCTAACCAATTTAAGAGAACTCTGGTTTGAAGGTTATGGAATCAATGACATCAATATCCTTTTTGCATTGGGTATCATCTCTTTTCCACAACAAATACATATAAAAGTAATTCAGAGAGTTACAAAACAACACTAAGCCTAGAGTTTTTTTGTTTTCATAAATCAAATGCAGGTGTTGGTGGAAATTCTGGACTGAGGAACTTAGAGAAACTCATTTTGAATAAGAATAACTTCAATTCCAGCATCTTTTCATCACTGAAGATTTTTCCATCTCTCAATCATCTGAATCTAGCCACCAACAAAATAAATGGATATATTGAAATGAATGGTTTGTTACTCCTCTTCCTATCCAAGTCTTCCACGCTAACCAAATCTCAATTTTTTATCTTCACATATCAAATTAAAGTTTGAATTATTTATTAACCTGTGTAGATATAATTGCTTTGAGCAATTTGAAATATCTGGATCTCTCACATAACAATATAGAGAGCTTTGTGACTGCCAAAGGTACACTAATCAATGTGGTTTGTCAATTAACATCACTCCTTTTGCATGCTTATTTTTATTAAATAGATTTATAGATTAATTATTTATTTATTAATTTTTCTCTTTGAAATTCTGATTGGTAATTTGCTAGATATAAGATTGATCTATTCATTCTAATGATTTATTTAACAGGTAACAAAAGAATGAGTTCTTTGCACAATTTACTATTGAGAAGTTTTAACTCCAGTCCGAGCAGAGTCATAGAATCCCTAAAATCATTCTCATCTCTGAAGTCACTATCTTATGAAAATAGTGATCTCACTGCTCCCACCATAATTTACTGTAAGCTTATATCAAAATTTATATGCCTTAGCTTAATTCTATCGCCACTCTTTTCTTTTGAAATATGATTTATTTTTTTGACTCTATAAGCATTAAGAAATCTGAGCACGGTGGAGTACCTATACTTGGAGGGATCTTCTTTAAATGACAACTTTCTCGCAAACATTGGACAAATGACTTCTCTTAAAGTGTTGAGTATAGCTTTTGGTAGCAATAATGGCACCCTCCCTAATCAAGGTACCCTATTTTTCTCTTCTTTTTTCTAATGCCTGCATTTTCACGACTATAGTCATATAGGTTTGATTTTCTCGATCATGTTCAATTGGTCAAATATTTTGGAAAACATTTACACTAAAAAAACAAATTCCTTAAAAATGAAAAAAATAATTTTCCTAATGAAAAAAAAAGATGTGGTTTATTATAGAAAGTTATTTTAGCTAACTGTCTCTCAACCTAGGTTGGTGTGAACTCAAACACCTTGAAGAGCTGGATTTTGTAAACAATAATTTTGTGGGAACACTGCCTTCGTGTCTTGGAAACATGACATCACTTCGACGGTTGAGTTTGGCTGGGAATAACTTACATGGAAATATAGCGTCACATTCTATTTGGAGGAGACTCACATCACTTGAGTACCTTGATATTGCGTATAACCAATTTGAAGTTCCTCTGTCATTCAGCCTATTTTCCAACCATACAAAATTGATCTATTTGGATGTTGGTTCTAATACAATAATTCCAGATACCGAATTCCAAAATTGGATCCCAAATTTTCAGTTGAAGTTTTTTGCAATCAAAAGATGCATAAACCTTCACAAATTCCCTTCTTTCCTTCACTATCAATATGACTTGAGGATCCTTGTTATATATGAAAATCAATTGGCAGGAAACTTTCCAACATGGTTGTTAGAAAATAATACCAGACTTGCAGCCATTTATGGTAGTGATAATGCTTTCAACGGATCACTGAAGTTGCCATCGAATCGTCACCTCCATCTAGAGGCGATTGATGTTTCTAATAACAAACTAAATGGACATATTCCAGAAAATATGAGTTTAGCCTTCCCAAAGCTTACTAGTTTGAATATGTCACAAAATTATCTTGAAGGTCCTATACCTTCCAAGATTAGTGGCATTCATTTAGAATTCCTAGACCTATCTAACAATCTCTTATCTGGAGGAGTTCCTAGTGATGTGGCAATTGGTTCTCCACAATTGTTCTACCTTCGGTTGTCAAACAACAAGCTTAAAGGACATATATTTTTGGAGGAGGTCAAGTCACATATATTGTCCTTTTTTTATTTGAATGGCAATAACTTTGGAGGACCGCTACCTCACAACATGTTTATCACATCCCTTTTGATATTGGATGCTAGCAGGAATAATTTCACTGGGGAGATTCCGAGATGCATTAGGGATAATACAAGATTGTTACAACTTGATTTGTCCAAGAATCATCTCAAAGGTTCAATTCCAGTTGAGATTTGCAATTTAAAGCTCATTCAGGTCTTAGCTATATCCGAAAACAGGCTTTCAGGCTTTATTCCTTCTTGTGTGAGTTCTTTACCTCTCGAACACATCCATCTAGAGAAAAATCAATTCGGTGGTGGACTGGAACATGTACTTTTCAACTTTTCTTCTCTGATAATGTTGGATCTTGGCTACAACAATTTTACAGGAAATATCCCACACACCGTAGGCTCTCTTAATACTCTCAACTACCTTCTCCTTAGCCATAACCAATTGGAAGGAGAAATTCCAACTCAGATATGTATGTTGAATAAGCTATCTATCGTGGATTTATCTTTCAATAAACTTTATGGTCCACTCCTTCCTTGTTTGGGTTACTTAACACAAGCCAAAAAGGATGCAAAGATAAGAATGACCTATTATTATGACAAGACTTATTGGAATCCATGGATAACTTTTTTGGTCTGGATACGGTTGAAAAGGCACTACCACGATCGTCATGGAATTTTAACTGATATACTTTTGATGGATGCAGAAACTCAGGTCCGGTTTTCAACGAAAAGAAACTCATACACTTTTAAAGGAAGCATTCTAAAATATATGTCGGGTATTGATCTCTCAAGTAACAGATTAACTGGTGAAATTCCCGTTGAGATAGGGAACATGAGCAATATACATACATTGAACCTATCGCACAATCATCTCATTGGAAGAATACCAAATACCTTCTCCAATCTACATGAAATCGAGAGTTTAGACCTTTCCTGCAACAGATTGAATGGGAGCATTCCTGTTGGTCTACTTGAGCTAAAAAATTTGGCAGTATTCAGTGTTGCATACAATAACTTATCGGGTGCAGTGCCTGATTTTAAAGCTCAATTTGGAACTTTCAACAAAAGCACTTACGAAGGAAATCCTTTTCTTTGCGGTTATCCATTAGACAACAAGTGTGGCAAGAGTCCTAAATTGTCAAATACCTCCAAGATTAATGGAAGTGAGGAATCATCAGACATGGAAGATATTGAGTGTTTTTACATTGGCTTTGTTGTGTCTTTTGGAGCAATCTTGTTGGGATTAGCTACAGCGCTCTACTTCAATCCTCATTGGAGAAAAGCATGGTTTATGATGATAGAGGCATTGATGTTTTGTTGTTACTATTTTCTCTTGGATAACGTTGTTACACCCATCAAGAGTATATGGTGCAGGAATGTTGGTTAGGTAGTTGTTTTAAAATTTTGTTGTACATCTATCACTATAAAAATGACTGACCATATTCAGATCAGTTCGTACGTATCCTGAAAAATGTAACAAAAATTGTTATGTCTGGTTAATGGAGAAATTTGGTATTCGTACGTATTTATGTGTAATTTTGTGTGTAACAGTACTGTTGAGGTGTCTGTGTAATCGACAAAAAAGATTATTGTGTGAACTTTGTCACTGATGTTGTTGTGATGCGAGATGTCACGGCACGAAACTTTGATGTTGAACAACACGCATATATGATAAAGAAGTTCTAGCTTTGCTTCACAACGTAATTAAATTGCATTTGGTGAGAAGATTTCAGAATTTTACTACTCTGATGTATGATGTGCTTATAATTGAGGGCAATAGAGAAGAGAAGTGGCCCCCTCTCTTGTGCTAAAATTTGCATTTACCTTTTTCCACATTTTTTTTTTTACTTTTTACTTGTTTTTCTTTATAATAACTAGAACATGTTTTTCCTTTTCCCTTATTTAGAGCATGATTGACATTACTGCTAAAAATTGCTTATTTTTAGAAGCGTTTTTTTTAAAATAGCTTTTTAGAACAACGCTTTTCATAAAAAGCAATTTGTGTTTGGCAAATTCATTTGAAAGTGTTTTTGATAAACAATTTGTGTTTCGCAAATTCATTTGAAAAATGTTTTTGATAAACAATTTGTGTAGTTTGACTACTTTTTTTTAAAAAAAAAAAGGGGATTTTAAGAGTCAAATTGCGAAAAAGGATAAGTATCAATGTGCTTTTAATATTAAGATTATTTTATAGAGAAAAACTATAATAATCTTATGCTAATTAATAGGAGATATATTGATAAATATGTATATATGTAAGGGATATTTTAGTCTTAAAAAATAATTTTCTGCTTTTACTTCTGTTTTTTTTTTAAGTAGAATTTTTTAGCTTCTTCCTAACATCAGAAAAACTATTTCTGCTTCCATTTAAAAGCAGTTTTAAGAATTTGCCAAACACTTAATTTTTCAAAATAAGTGTTTTTTTCTCAAAAAAAAATTCTGGTCTCCCAACAGCAACAACAATGTCAAATAGACTCTTAATCAGTTGTGGACATTAATACATTTTGACATCATTTTAGAAACCAACACTCTCATTTATTTGCTTAAGCTTGCCATCATGCTTTGGCATACACTGTATTGACGTGAAACAATGATATTTAACAGAGCACGTACCACTGTTATAAATAAGGATAAGTATAATGCTCCGATGGTCATTTTTATAATTTTTTGTGAAATTACTGTTTTGTCCCTCTCGATATTGACCCTCAGTTATCTTTATTTGAGTTTTGAAAGTTGGTTTCAAACTTTGAGTAAAAAGTTGAGAATTTTGTAAGTGTTGAGTTTGAAAGGCTAAAGTTGCTTAAGAAGTGTTTTTCTGTGTCTTTTGGAGTTTCGAGTGTTACAATGAAATTCCATCGATTCCATTAGTTCCAAAACGTGGAAATTGGTCTATGAAAGTTATCAGTTTCATATTCAGAGTTCTTTGTGAGAATTTTGTAACACCTCGCTATTTGAAAGAACTAGAAATAGAAAGAACAATTTTTGGAAAGATTAAATTTGGAAATATTGGCAAGATATGTTAAGTATGAGTTTGGGTCAATTTCAAACGACCATAACTTCCAGTACAGGATGAGTTATGTGGGATATAAGATATCATAAGAAAGCTCTTTGAATTATCTTTCCAACGTCACCGAGTTTGCTTATTTTTTATCTCGTATGAGGGAGATATTCCCTTTGAAGTCGGGATGTCTGGATAAGGAAAGTCACCCGAATTTAAGAGGGGTATTTTGGTCTTTTCATTACCCAATTAAGTTAATTCATTTTAAGTAATTTATTTGGGGTCTAAATTGATTTGGTTCAGTTAACGCTTTACAAAATGACACAAGGGCTTTGAGAGAAGAGAAAAGAGGAGATAAGAGGAGAAAAGAAGAGGTTTCGTCGCGTTCTTGAGTTTCGCTTGCGGATTTCGCCAAGGGTTAATCCCTACGAGGTATGTGAGATCACATAGCATTGGGTTCGTTCACCCACGCACCAATCATGATTAAATTCAGCGTATTTACATTCTTGAAGGTAGGAAATATGAGTTCTTGATGAATGTTGTTGAAGTTTCGTTTGAATCTTGATTGTTGAGTGTTGGAGGAGTTCTTAAATGATTTGATGAGATTTAAGGTTGTTGTTGAGTAGATTCTTGTATACTTTTGTTGGGTATTCGAATCTAAGTGTTTGAGGAAGAAACCAATCGAATCTAGATGATTTAGGGTCGAAAAACGAACAGGAAAATTTGTAGGTTTTCTGGGCAGGGGGCCGGCGCACTGCGCCATCATAAGGTGTCTGAAGTTTGGCCTCTGGGGCAACGCGCCACTCAGTGCGCCCCAAGCCAGCTTCTGTAGTTAGGGCTCTAGAGCCCTGCGCCACTTAGTACGCCAGGGTCGCCAATTCCTCTACCATTTCCCTCTTCTTTCTGTTTGAGTTCCCTCGAATCGTACTTATGTTTTCTAGTTGTTTTCTACACTCTAAGGTACGTTTAAACATCGAGAGATCATCTATAACATGAGATCATAACCCTTGAATCCGTAATCCAAATTCAAGGTAGAGCTAAGAGTCAAGTCAAGAGAGTTCTTAGAATCTTTTCAAAATCTTTTACAATCGTTTTAAACTTGTTTTAAAGACTTAAGCACTGAGTTTGAGAAAGAGTAGAGCCAATTCCATTTCTTTAAAAATGAAGTATGGGGACTAAGTACTCCCAAAGAGCAAATGTTTTCACATTTAAGATAAGAGGAAACACCGATTTCCAAATGAGTTTTCATGAGTAATTTTGAGTTCCATCTCTTTTAAGAGATAAACTTTTTGAATAATAACCTCAAACCACAGAGAAAGAGTTATGTTTTTAAACATATGAGCTGAGTATATTTTGAGAGTAGTATTGAGCATCGATATGGGGACGAGTTCATAATAACTCAAGTCTCTATAAACCATGTAGCCAACGTGGGTAGAAAGGGTCATACTTTTTAGATAATTCCTTAATGTTTTTTAGCATAGACTACTGGATCCACTTAGTTGAGGCATTCTATATCCTGGCAAGTTATAAGACAGTTCTGGCAGCGTGGGCGAGACGGTGTATCATCACATGGCTCATAGTGATGGTTGTCGGTTAGAGAAACTCCCCAAGAATTATATCACTATATATATATATATATATATATATATTGAGTTGTTATTGTATTATTTTTCAATACATTGAGTTGCTACCTACTGCTTAAATGCTTTATATAAACTGCACATTTACTGTTGTTTATTTATGCATTGAGTTGAGTATCCATGAGTTTAGTAAAGCTGAGATAAGTTTTCTTTCAGATTCTAGTTCAAGCTTATGTCATGTTTAGTTTTCCCCTCGCATGCTCGTACATTCAATGTACTAATGTCATTTGCCCTGCATCTTTTTATGATGCAGATGCAGATAACCAGGATCAGCATCCAGCGCTTCATTGATCCAGTTGAGCATTTCAGAGTAATTTGGTGAGCCTCCTTGCTTTCCAGAGGATCCTTTTTTATTGCTTTGTTATTTTGGTTGTTACGATGATCGGGGGTCTTGTCTCGACATCCCTCCCAATATTAGAGGCTTCATAGACAGTTAGACATTAGTAGTTCTTTAGCCTTTGCATTTTAGTTGTTTTGTTATCAGACTTGAGTTGCCTTATTGGCCAGTTGAATGTTTCCTTTTATAACATTCTAGTTTATTTCTATAACGACATGTTCGTGTCGTTATAGAATAGCCATCGGGAAAATTTTTTGGGTTAGAAAACTTTTTGGTAGTAACTTGAAAATTCCTAGCCTAGTCTAGATTTGGACGAAATCGGAGTCAAGCAAGTCTAGGGAAAGCTGGTAATGGATGAGAGGTTTAATATTAAATGTGATTACATGAGTAGACAACTATGACGTTAAGGAGCCCGTACGACTTTACGGAATCGAATTCGGGAGAGTAGAACTCCCAAAACTGATCTTAGCGTGAACGAGTAGTTTCTGAGTGTCAAGGGTTGAATGTGTGTTATAAAATGGGGGTTTGAAACTACAATTTCGACTCTCTATTTTCGTGCAAGCCGCTAGGGCAGGATTATTCCCGTCAGGGCGAGGCCGCTGTGGTGGGATGGGGGCCGCCATAGCAGGCTAGTCACGACTTAAGTTGGAAATAAACCCCAAAAACGTCATTATTCTGCAATTTTAGTTCTTGAGAGCTAGGAGATGACCCCAGGAAATTTCTTGATAGTTTCCCAACTATTTTTGGTGCTAAAGGTAAGGATTTTACTCCCCTAATCCATTTTTCGATCCATACAATTTAGAATCTTGATAATATATTGGTGGGGGAGGGTTTTGAACGGAATTGGATGGTGGGAAAAAGCCCTAGCTCCACCTTAGGATCATGAGTTGGGTCTTGGGTTTGTCATAATCCGGGTAAATTAGACCTTAGTTATTGATCCTTGCATTGAATTGATTGTTTGTAGACCTAGAACAAGCGGAAGGAATCCGAAAAGGGAAGAATCAAATTTCTTAGTAGGATTCAATCGTGTTTTCGAGGTAGGTGATGGTTTGATTTCATGTTTGTGTGATGTATGTGAGTATTTGCTTTATTGTAATGCATGTATGTATGTGAATGTTGCACTATTGATCACATTAAATGCGAATGAATATGAACGAATGATAGTATGCCATGAATCAACAATTTATTATCTAATTATGAGAATGTACAGTGTGATTGTAATTGTGGCTTGTTGAATGGAGCGGGTGTTACGTTCCAACACACTAAGTGGGATCGAATTTCGCGTACTGACATATGTATTGGAACGGGTGTCACGTTCCGACACTCTAACTTGGATCGGGTGTCATGATCCGACAAACTAACAGTTTGGGTATGGGTACCATGAGAGGACCATTGACTTGTCATATATGCGT